TGGGGGAGGGGATGGGTGAAAGGCATCCCGCGCGAAGCGCAGTAGCTTAGACGTTCCATTAAATTATTATGAAAAGAAGACGATTTGTTGTACCGTTCTCGACTCTTAATCCTTGTCTGAATTCAGTTTCCCCATCCCACACGAAGCGTGGAGGCTTAGACGTTTCATTAAATTATTATAGAAAGAAAACAATTTGTTGTATACCGTTCTCTACTCTTAACCCTAATTGTCTGAATTCAGTTTCTCCCCCTCTCGCGCGAAACGCGGGAGCTTCGACGTTTCATTAAATTATTAGAAAAAGAAGACGATTCATTGAACCGACTCTTAATCATTGTCTGAATTTTCAGAAATGTTTCTTTGTCCGATAAAAAGTCACAGTTCTAAGGGGAACAAATTGCTGGCCGACCGACGTAAAAAATACCACCGACTTCAACCCCACACCCCCCCCCCCCCCCCTTTAGCGACGCCCCTGAATGTAGAGTGGCCTGAGCGGGTAGGCACAGGGCGTGGTTCTAAACTTACAGAGACACTTCGATGAAGACACCTTTATTTCATGATTGCGTGTGTTGAACTGCCATGGGCTTTACAACTTTAAACCTCCAGGGTTTATTTTGCATATATAGGGATTTACATGATCATTTATAGAATAAAAGGAAATAATGAATATTCAAATATCATAGGTAGCAAATAAAGGATGACTAACAGAGGAATGAAAACAAACAGATAGGAGAGGATGATCAAGCATAATGATGTGCACCAATCTATAAATGTGAATTACTAAGTAGCCTGTTCACACTACAGCTCTACAATAACAAAGCATTTGTAGCCTTACTTTTAAGCAGTTGAAGAAATTAATAAAAGTAGGCCTACTTGAAGAAATCGTTGAATTATAAGATATTCAGTTTATTTTATTAAGTATGACAAAACACACATTTAACACCTTTGGAAAAAATAATACCCCAGGAACGTGAAAAACCAACTTTTATTGTCACACATGCTATAATCGGACATATTTAAAAACAGAAATGTGGCACCACCCAAAAATATAATTCTGAGATCCTTCTTTGTCTTTAATTTGCACCTGAAAATAAATTCTTTGTTCCTCGTCTATGTCATCGCGGCGAAAAATTTCAGACTTTTCTTCTTTTCATGCAGCCTCAGACAAATGTGCCAAAGAAGTTTTGTCTTCTTGTGTTCCTGGAAACAAAGTTTGGGCAATAGTTTTCAAGTTCAGTTTATCTTTACGAGATTTATATATGTGTAATATTAAGCTTTGGTTGAGATTTCTTTGGGTCATTGTACTTATCAGAGAAGTTTTGATCCGTTTCAAGACAGAGAATGTTCTCTCGCAAGTTGCCGTTGTAACCGGGATTGTAAGGTAAATGAGAAGAAGGATGTGCACCTTTGAGAATGATCTCTTATAGATTGGACTGTTGTTGAAAATCTCACAGATTGTTTTAATGTATATTTGATAGGTTTACTCTCATCGTCGCACACGTCTTGGAGGCTTGTTAGCTGCCGAGTTAATGCTACAAAGTCAATATCTCCGGCATACACTTCCCTCAACTCATCAGCACGAACAAAATATTGGGGAGGGGGCTCATGATAACCGAGCCCGGCCGAATTTTTTTTTTTTTTTTTTTTTTTTTTTTTTTTTGGGGGGGGGGGGGGGAGGTGGCTCAATATCCGGGCCCCTCAAAAATATCGGGGGGCTCCGTGATGTTATCCGAGCCCCACCAAAAACACTTGAGGGGGGGCTTATGATATCTGAGTCCCTCCAAAATATTTGGGGGTTTAAATGATATCCGAGATCTACCAAATATATTTTTTGGGTCAATGATATGCGAGATTCGATGTCTGAGCCAGGCGCGGATCCAGGATTTCTTAGGGGAGGGGGCCCAACTTTTTTTTTTTTTGGCTCCCGAAAATTTGAAAATCGCGCCGGCCGAAAAGTCGCTCAGTGGGGGGGGGGGGGGGGGGGGGGGTTGGTACAGAGCACAATTTTTTTTTTTTTTTGCTCCCGAAAATTTGAAAAATGCGCCGGCCAAAATTTCGCTCAGTGGGGGGGGGGGGGGGGGGGGGGTAGTGAGCACATTTATTTATTTTTTTGATCCTCAAAAAAATTTCAATTTGCACCCCCCCCCCCTTGAGCGCCAGGGGGGGAGGGCCCAACCTCCAAAAAGGTTAAAAATCACGTGATTTTACATGATTTTTTTTCTCAAGGGGGGGGGGGGGGCCCGGGCCCCCCGGCCCCCCCCCCCCTGGATCCGCCACTGGTCTGAGCCCCCCTCTCTCCTCCCTAAATAAATATTTATAAAATGTTTATATTTGAATGGTACGTCTGTAGATTATAGGTATACATGAGTTTCATGCCTAGAATATAATCATTGGGGAGGAGGGGGGTTCATGATATCTCCGAGCCCAGCAATAAGTCTCGGATGCTGCTCAATGATATCTGAGCCCCACTTAAAATATTGGGGGCTCAATGGTATCTTAGCCCCTAAGGACTCAATGATATCTTAGCCCCACCAAAAGATTGGGGGGCTCAATTAATGATATCTATAAGCCCCGCCAAAAATATTGGGGGGGGGGCTCAATGATCTCTGAGCCCCCCCCCCCCCCCCCCAATATATTTTTTGGGGGGGGCTGCGCCCCCATTCCCCCTCCCCCCGGTTCCAAAGCGTAATTACAGTTCAATGAAGTCTATTTTTTGACACTTAAAGGGATTGGGTAACTTTGTTTTAGGTTCTGAAACAAAAAATTCTGGAATGATAGTTAGGGCTAGTTCTGATCGGAAAACGACCCAAATATCGGAGTATGGCTAGCTGCCCCAGGGCCTTTTCCTATATACGGATCAGAGAAAAAATACTTAAAACATTTCGGGGGTTACTTTTATGACTTTCGGGGGCTCTTTTTGGCATTTCGGGGGCTAATTCACCCCGAGCCCCCGTGTATTTTTCCTCCTGATACGGATAAGTGAGTGCCCTGATGGGTCTACTTCTAACTCGTGTATTTAGCCCTTCTTTCTTTACTTGTTCCTTTCCTTTCTTTTTTCTTTCCTTTCCTTTCTTATTTTTTCAAAGAGGGGGGGGGGGCGGGTCCATCGCCCCCCGTATATCCTCGCCTGAGTGACACCCACACAACTAACCTTATTTATTACCGAACAAAAACATGAAGAAAGAGCCCCCTCGACACCATAGGTGTAAGTATTCAGCCAGTTCCTACCCCCCCCCCCCCCCACCAATACAAACTTTAAAAGTGATTTTTTTTTTTCTAATTTGATACCAGTGATATACAGATGTTGCTGAAATGGCCTAATTTTCCGGGATTTTTCCTCGCTTTTTAATAAATTATACTTTTTATGCGTTTGTTGGAGAATGACATATATCACAATTTACAGTCAGGCAAGAAATGTGCTTATTTACTATTTAGAGGCCGACATGTCAGGTCCCGCGGAACGGCGGGCTTGGGGGCTCAAGCCCCCCCCCCCCCCTCCCACCCCACACTTTTGAAAAAGTATATTAAAGAGAATTAAATAGAAAGAAATAGAAAAGAAAGTATGTAACCGTAATTAAATGCCCATACCCCTGAGCTAATTCCGGGGGCTCTACCCCCTGGACCCCATCTTGGGCCCTAAGGCTGGCCCCATGATGCTAATCTGACCTTAATTGTAATGCCTAAAACCATGAATATGGTATTAAAATATGCTCATCTGACCGTAAGTACGAAGCCACGTACAATCGATTACAACAGTAATTGTGGGGCCAATATCACGAGTATGCCTTCATAGAGTAAATGTTTTAAAGAAAATATTCACTTCTACTTTCAAAAGGACTGGCCCATTTGCTATTGTAGAGAGTTATTATTATGTAATTTCTAGAAAAAATGCCAACCACATGATTTGCAATGAGTCTAAATACATTGATTTGCCGAGTTTCTTCCTTTTATCAAATATACAAGTAAAACAATGGGGGGACAGACTGCGCGGATAGCAATCCGCACGGATCGTCCGAGGGACGATCCGGGCGAGTCACGGACGATCCGTGCGAGCAGAAAACCCGCATATTATGTCCGACGGACAAACGAAAATGGTAGGACAAACGGCGCGGTCACACCGGCACGTCAAGCTACTTTGCTTATTTCTGTATCCCTCCTGCATCTAATGTATGTTAATTATGCATTCAATATATTTGTTTAAATTCAATATATTTGTTTAATATCGTTTATTATCTGTATAAAATTATATACACTTGAAATATGATCAAGCCATATTATGTTCATTAAAATGTATGATGAAAAAAAGAAAAAAGATGCAGAAACCAATAAATCAAATCAAATCAAATCAAATCAATGTGTAGTACAAATGAATGGGAGGGATGAAAATTAGAGGGTAAGAAAAGGAGAGAATCAGAGAAAACAGAGTACGTGAACAGAGGTATGGAAATGAGAGGGAGAGGGGAAGAGTGTGTGTGAGAGAAGGGGAGGGGAAGGGAATATAGACGAGAATATAGAAACATTGCAACTTACAAGTGTGAATCAATGATGATTGCTGTAATATACTATAAACATATTGTAAAAACATGGAGGAAAGTGATAGGTGATAAGGGTTACAATGTGTGTAATTGGGAGGGATGAAAATTAGAGGGTACGAAAAGGAAAGGAACAGTGAAGGCAGAGTACGTAAACAGAGGTATGGAAATGAGAAGGAGAGGGGAAGAGTGTGTGACAGAGAAGGGAAGGGGGGGAGAAGGGGATGAGAGAAACTAGTGGCGGGAAAATAGTTCGTAATAGGGGTTACTGAGGGGTGGGGAGTGAGCCTGTGGAGGAGAGAGGAGTGAGATAGGGGAAGGGCGGGATATCTAAGAGCTAAGGAAGAAGACAGGGGTGAGAAAAAGAATAGGTGAGGAGACAGTGAAGGAGGAAGAATTGGATATTGGAAAACAACAGAAACAAATCATTATTAAATTTGAATGACATCAGATAATCAAAAAGTAACATACCTTAGTCCATTGCAGACATCGATAGACACAAACGATCCTGGTATCTCTTCAACGAAACCTTCATAATGACACTCTGCTGGGATCTTCGAAAGATAAAAGAAAAAGATATATGAATTCCAACATATCAAAAATATTATTTTTTAAACAGGTTTTGGGGGATATTTCTTAATCAACAATATCATACTAGTTTTATTTGTCTGTACTAAACGATGTGTCTTAATATCAATCGGTTAATTTACAAATTAAATATATTATTGAACTCAAACAATTCATTTCAAAATGCAGAACTAAAATAGTGCTCATGAAACTAGCTCAGTGCATTCCCCTTTTTACAAACGGATGCAAGACGGAACCAACATAAATATTTCAAACATGAAAATTAAGAGTGCTTATACATGTTTACAATGGATGCGACTGGAATGACTGATAGTTCTGTAATTTGATAGCTTCTTTTGACGGATTTGACATCGGGAAGTAACATATTTAAAGATAAGCTTGAGTTCTGGTAAGATCGAATTCTAACAGAATCCAACAAAACTTACACTGAATGTTTAATATTACAAAAAAATGACATGTGCCAAACGATTTTAGTAGAAAATGTATAGGGGCTGAATAATGAGCATAGAAAGATAATGAAAGTAAGGTAAGTAGTTCCGACATCATGTGCTTAACACAGGTCACTATGTGCACATGAGAGTTGTGGGTTTATAGAAGATTTCCAGCAAGTTTTTGTGAGGTTGTTTTATATTACTGGTTCAAAAGCTCGGAGCTCAAGATTAGCTTTAAAGATACTATGTCGCTTTTGCAGCCAATATCAAATTCTGTAGAACTTTGCGGGAATTATGAATATGTCATGTATGTCCTATCTGTGAATTTTAAACGTTAGCAGTGTCGCAGTGTCCTAGTATTCAAATTTTGCAAGGAAACAGGTTTACTCTCAAGACTTCCCTGTTAGACACTATTGAGTGACTGACTGACATCTTTTTTTCTTTGGTAATAACATACATGAAGTGAGCTGTAACAGGTACATGAGCATTTGTATACATCAATAACCCACTACTTGTAATGGCCAAAATTGAAATGATTGAATCTTTGTGCAGCACAAAACGTACGACCATTCAGTACAAGGGTCTGAAAAATCAGACTATTACTTAAGTGATTGCAGTCACTTATGTCGATTCGACAACTAATGGTCTTTATTTTTCAACAAAATGCCATTTTCAAACCCTTTCGTTTTGAGGGAAGTTCTAAATAAGTTTTGTCTTTCAAATGCTGTTGGAATGTAACCTTCTTCATTTGTTTGACCTGCAAATGGGACATAATACCTTTAAGGTCAGTGGAGAAACACACCTTTAAAAAATCATTTACAAAGAAGACGCTTTTCGTGAATACAATACTATCAATATTCTGACTTAATCTGATCTAGCCTAAAGAAATTTCTGCATTCCAGGTACATATTTACCACACGTGGGTGGAGAGTAGTAAATATAGATTATTGTCTTGCAAAAGGTTTGTAATTTCTATGACTCACTGGCCTTGAACCGATGATCTGTTGCGATGCGACCAATATTTCTTTAGCTCCCCAAACTGCATGATGTCTGCAAATATGAGAAGAAGAAAAATGGAGTAAAATAATAATATGTATTTTGAAGAAAATGCATATATATATAATATATAATATAATATGACATAATGATAATGCAAATTAAAAGCAATTAATTCAACCGAAAGGTATGATCACAAAGATCAATTTTCAATAGTATTATATGTCGTATTCTGAACAAGATGAACAATACAATGGTATATCAATATCAATCATAAGTATACATGCTTATGATATTTGGCCTCTGTATTTATCTTGATTTTTTTTTTTACTCACATCCATACTTTCAAGTTTTCAATGATATATTTTATATGAGTGTATTTAAGTTGTCACTCTGTATGTAAATCAATTTTATAGTAGGCTTGCGGGTGCACCATGTGAAAGAGAGGGAGGATTGAGGAGTCCTAAAAAGGACTCTCGGTAATCTTTCTTGATTTTTTTTTGTAGTCCTGAAAAGGACTGTTGGTATAGTCTTGAAAAAGACTGTTGGTTATCTTTCTTAGCTTATAGTTCTAAGGTGAACTATACACCCACGTGTTGTAAATAAGTACCTGGAATGCAGCCACTCATCCTCTCCAAGCGCTAAGCTACGAAAGATAACCAACAGTCTTTATCAAGACTATACCAACAGTCCTTTTCAAGACTACAAAAACCTCAATAAAGATTACCGAGAGTCTTCTTTAGGACTCCTCAATCCTCCCTCTCTCCCACATGGTGCAACCGCAAGCCTACTGTATATCTACATTACCATGCAAGCCAACACTTACAAGCAGCTTCTAATATTATTGTTATTTGAATGTTTAATATTTGATTTATCAATAAATGCAGAAACATCTGCTAAAAAAATATCATGTAATCCAAACATGATTTCTATGTGACATTCAAAAGGATATTGATACTGGCTTAAATTTGATTAAATGAAAGTCATTGTGATTATGTATTTTACTCCAATTTTCTGTTTGTCTGTCTGAGTGTGTGTGCGTCTGCGTGTGCCTGAGGCTCTTTCTTGAAATATTATTCATTCAGTTCACAAGATATTATATTGTTAAAGTTAAGTTCAAGTTCAAGTTTTATTATTTCCACATTCCCTTAAAAACATACCATGAACATAAATGATATGAAGAATAGCATATGTATATATATATATATAAACAATATATAACAGTAAAAAATAAAAATGTGGAAGGGAACCGCATAGGCCTTTGGCCTTTCGAGGCAAAACACTAACAAATATATAAATGAGTAATAAAAAAAGTTTATAATTCTGTTATGTTTCTTTAATAATTAATAAATAAACGTACCGTGTATATATGTTTTGTTCTGCATTTGTAATAATTGATGTGAAAATTGAAAGATGCGATATGTTAACATTTATTTCATTTATGTTAAAGGAATTTAACTTCAATATCTTGTAATATAATATTATGTTAGATTATATATATCATCATTGTGCTATTCACTATTATTTGTACATTGAATGAACAAGAAAATATCTTTCACAAAATGAATGCAAATGAATGTAAGCGACAGGGGATAAAATAAGGGTGCGTTGTGCTTGTTTAAAGTAGAATTCAACATTTTAACACGATTTTTCTTCTCTTTGGTAATGGATTGGTATTTAATCTGTGGAATGTCTCTGAGCAAGTTTCGGGACTGTACGTTCAATACGACACCAATCAACCTTTACTAACGTTGTGAAAGAGTCAACTTCTTTTGTGATTTACGTGTTTACGGCTCATTAAAGTTTCCGGTCCAGCTTGCTGTAAGCATGCTGCAATAGTAGGACAAAAAAGTTCTCACAGTTGACTAAACTGATTCAGTTGGTTTTCTCACAGTATTAACATTCTTAACATGTTTACGGAACGGAAACATTTCAGATAGATTTGGGCGCCATGGTGCAGATTATCGTCTGTTTTGAACATGAACTTCAAGCGCGTTACTCTTTCGAAATGACTAGAAATCTTTTCATTTCATTTCATTTCATTTCACTCTTTGATACTAAATCTTATTGAGCAATAATGTACGGGTTATGAAAATACTGCAAAGTCGTTTATTCATCGGTAGTAGCGATCTCTTTGCCTATTATTCCCATGCGCAGGGAAGACGTATTCAAGAGTCCGGCTTGTTGACCACTTCATGATTTCTTAGTACTACACATTTTGGTAAACCTGCATAAATCCAAATGAACGTAAAACAGATCTCTTGGATAAGACATATTGGTCAAGAAGAAAGTAATATGACTAATACTATTCACCATCCGTGCCATTAGCAAATTGTTTTGCAAGTTGCAAAGTGAATTCAAAACGCTCCGTATGATAGTGTCGAGCCACTTTACTATTTATGATAGATCTATCAAGACGATGGGCCACTTTCGTAATGTAACCAAATCTAATGCATAAGTCTTTGTGAAGTGCCTCAATACATATTATTTCAAGCACCTGATAAGAATAATAGTATTTCAATATACAGAATCTGAACTGCATACATTGATTGTTGTCAGGCAGAATAAACATTATGTCTTGACCTACCTAACAACACTTAATACACAAAGACTAATGCAATAAATGTGGTTACATTACGAAAATGGCCTATTGGTTTGGGTTTCTTGTGCCTGCGTGTGCTGGAGATTGTGTTCATGCGTGGGTATGTGCGTGTGCGCGTTGCGCGTGTGCGTTGTTGGTGTGTTGGTGTGTGTGGTAACCCAGTCTTTAGTAATCAAGGGTGTCTGTATAAAGACATGTGGGGGGCATGACATCAATGCCTATTTTCAAAGCAACTGTCGGAAAGTTTTAAACTTTCTTATCATCCATCTTGGGAAAACAGATATATCATATGCCTGGTAAGGACACTGTGTTGTGTTTTATTTGCTTATTTAAAAAGTTCGACTAATTTACTAATCTGTCCGTGAAGCAAATTTGAACCGACAGCATCCCCCTCCCCACCCAAGTGGGTTATCAACCTTTATTTCAATAGAGTTATTCATTTAGAATATATCTTGTCCAAGAATGTAAGAAAAACACCCGGCATGTTTACTTACAACTGTTAGAAATATTAAATTGTTTGTACCTTTCAAAACGAAACTTATTGATCACATAATTCTGATAACAAAATCGTTCAATTGGAGCGATATGCACCTACCGTGACGCATTATGCCAAAATTTCTTCACAATTGATTGAAATTAAAAAGATCACTATGAAAAACCACTGACACTGTTGCACCTTTTACAAATGCAGTAGGCGTACAAACGTTCCATTTGTCTTTTTCATCGTTTATTAAGTCAAAAATATGTGTGTCAAACTGTTGGCGTTCTAGCCTTATTTTGACCTACTAACGCGAACGGTGTTCATTGACTTAAAAAGAAACGCGTGGGACTGGTTCACAGATTTCATACAAATTTTCTTTTTATGAGTTGATAGTCCCACACAGAAGACAATACTCTTTAACTGAATCAAATTCCTTTAACCGCATGGGGTGTAGCTAGTGTGATCCATATCAATTGAAATGCTAAGCATTCCTTCTGAAAATTATAATAACTTTAATGACAATTAAGACGCATGTTTATGAAATGATCAGAGATTTTTTATTTTTTATTACTCTAAATGTCACACAACAAAGGTGTACGTCACCTTTTGAACCCACTATCGGGTAGATTTACCAAACTTTTCTCTTCTGAGTGTGTTTCGGATGATCATATCTGATCATCCACCATGTGTGATGTTTGTTTTCGTACATTATGCGTCTTATCATTAATATGTGTAATGCCTTCTTCAAATACTACTACATAACAAACAGAGTGAACCACCAAACTAAAAATATGTGCCGGAGTGCATTTAAATTATTAATAAACTACAAGTCTTTCGTTTATTTTTTATTTACCATGATTACATTAATGACAAAGATACCTTTGTATGTGATTATTGTTATCTCTTTTCACTGGTTTCCTTTTTGAATCTTTATTTGTATATCTTTATTTTTAGTCAAACATTTTTTCTCCAAACAAAAAATCAACAAAAAATCAACAGCCATTTTGGGGCTGAAGCGAGTTACGGTGGTAAATTTAATGAATGCCAATTAAAGAAAGGTTATTGAATTATTATTGTTTCATCATTTTATATACATACCTGTTTTGTTCCAAATCCAGTGTAAAATGATGATCCCAGGCCTTGAATTCTACTTTCAAATGCGATACTTCTTGGTTCTGCAATTATATAGAGGGGAAAGATGGAATGAGACCGATAGAGAGAAAGAGGGAGAGAGGAAAGAGGAAGAGAGGAAAGAGAGAGAGAGCGAGATAGAGTGAGAGAGAGAGAGAGAGAGAGAGAGAGAGAGGGAAAAATAGAGAGAGTGAGTGACAAAAAGAAAGAGAAAGAGAAAAACAAGAAAGAAGCAGAGAGAGAGACACACACAGAGACACAGAGGAAGAGAGGGGGTAAATACAGAGAGAGAGTGAAAGAAAGTGGGAGGAAGGTTTCAAACTAAGAGTAAATACTATATGTGGTTTGAACATGAGAACATAATGTAAGCAATACAAGGATGTGGTAAACAAAATTACTAGCCCCAAAACAAATAGGAGGCTTATGACTTCCAACAAAGCGAAAAGTGAGTACAAACGAAACATGAAGTTAATTAATCATGTTAATAAACAGTCTGACGCTACACCGCTTCCCCAATGTTTGAATCATATTATGTAGGATTGACACACCTTCATAGTCATCCATATCCTACCTGCATGTTTGACAACTAAACTATTCCTTTGCTCTACTTGTCAAGCGATGTTGCGGTGAGATCAAGATCAAATAGATTCGTTCAAATTATAGGTCAAGCTAAACAAAACGGGACGGTACAGTATTGTAATTATTTTTGTACAAACAAGTCTCATTCTTTATTATACATTATAGATAACTAATGAATCATTCTGTTTAGTTTACGAAAGGTAACTCCCATCTGCAGTGACAGGTTTAGGCGGTGCACTAGCGATATGTTTGACACAGATTAAATAAGGTACACATATTTAGTCAAGGTCAATGAGAAGTAGACCGAAACCGTTGATTTAATTTAGACTTAAAGGCATAGGAGTTTAGGGGAGCACATGGACCCCTCCCCCTCCCTCTACCGCCACGATTATATCGGAATTCCAAATGTCAATTTATTTGATTAATTTAATCAATAAACTAATGATGGTGAAGTAGATGATGATGAAGATGATGGTATTTGTATCAATAAAAATGGTACAATAAAAAAAATACTAATTATAATAAAGGTAATGATTACAACAACAAAAATAATGATATCAATGATAATAATGATAATAACACCAACATAATCATCATCATCATTATCATTACTACATGTGCTACTACTACTACTACTACTGCTGCTGCTGCTGCTGCTACTATTTATATTGTTATTGAGAACACTTTTCAGTATTTCTGTGAAGGGAAAGAAATAAGAACTTTCAACTGATGCTGTTATCAGATCAAAGTACATTTTCCTCTTTTCTTCAACACAACGTATTAATTCTCCTTTGATTATAACAAGGATATTTGTTCCGGTGTAAACAGAATATTCCCTGGAGAAAAAAGGAGTGCATTCTTCTCATATATTATCACACAGTTAACAATGGTACTTAGGAAATGGCTGTTTGACTCAGCCAAATAGAAAAGTGGTGTTTAAGTAGATATGGCTCATCAGAATGACGAGTCAGACACTTTTGTCAGGTTAAGTGAGTGTGTGTATATGTGTGTGAGCGTACATGCGTGTGTGCGTACGTGTGTGTGCGTCAAGTTGAAATAGAAAGAGGGAGAGCCAGATCAAGAGATAGAAACAAGATAATAAAAAGAGAGTGATAAAATAAAGATTGATGGAAAGGGAGAGACAGAGAGAGAGAGACATAGAGAGACAGAGAGAGACAGAGAGAGAGACAGCGAGAGACAGAGAGAGACAGAGAGACAGAGAGAGACAGAGAGACAGAGAGAGAGATAGAATGTTAGAAATAGAGATAGACAGACATAGATGAAAATAGATGCTGCGAAAGATGGAAAGACACAGAGCGTGGGATAGAGAGGAAGAGAGAGAGAGAGAGAGAGAGAGACTGGTGGAAATTCTCACTTGACTTGTTTAGCACATTCCTTCTCACGCTTAGTATATTTATTCATAAACACGAAAATAGAGTAAACGCAGTATTAAGATACATTAATAAAAGTGTCAGGGGAGTTGTTATTTGCAAGTATTATGCGAGGTGTATGCGGTGACGAATAGCCACACGTTGCTAATAAGGTAGGCCTATCAGAAAGAGGGGGGCTCATAGTTAAAAGGCAGTGACAATCAGTTATCTTCTTTTTTATGTTGTATTTTGTTTTCTTTCTCGTTATTTCTCTTGTCAGATATTTTTCATATTTGTTCCCCCCCCCCCCTTCTCGAAGGGAACTCTGTTGAACACCACTTTAAACTGATGCGGTGTGTATTCTCATATCCTGAAGGTAGAGTCTGTCTAGACTTACTTATACTAATACTGAAATAAACACCCTGGAATTTAGAGTTATTGATTCGTGAGCTAGAATTATATGAACCCTCACTTTCTTCATGTGTTTAATGTTGTATTTTTAAAAAAAATTCTCTCTCACTAAATTCGTGTTTTGATTGATTACCTGATAACTGTTAAATAGTATTCTGATACATTACACTCGATTTCATTAAAAAAAAGGAAATAGATATGTTACTCATGCCCTTAACTGTACGTCATTGTAACATTCTTGCACGAAGGCTTTTTTATGCCGCTGTTGTTGTTATTTTGGTTAGTTAAAGTGGTGAAGCGTGAGTCCCACATTGAAGGCGACTTGGAAACTAAAGGCGAGAAAACAATGCTATTGCGTAAGGAGAAGACTGGGGAAGGGTCGTATCACTCCCTTTCTTTCTTTAATGCTATGGTCACATTACCCAAAAGTAGCCTGCTCGGCGGCCGAGCGGCGAGTTTTTAACCAATTCTGCCCGGCGGCTGGCGGCCACCGAGCGGCGGCCGCCCAGGCACCGCTCGTTTTTAGGGCATCGCTCGGTCGCCGCTGAAGTTTTTAGCGCGGAGTTAAAATTTGGGCGGCGCCTGCTCACTTTTCACTCACCGCCCAAAATACGCTCGGTGCCCGGGCGGTCGCCGCCCGGGCACCGACCTAATCGCTGGGCGATGCCTAATTCCAGCAGCGACCGAGCAGGCTACTGATCGGTCGGTCGCTGCTCTGATTTGTGACCATAGCTTTAGCGGGGAGTTTCCTCGTCATTCAATTCAAGGCTTGTGCCCTCTTATGCCCTTGGTATAATGAAACACGTCTGTTATTAACTTGAGATATTTCAAAATGTAACTTAGTATGTTGCTACAATATCTTGAACTGAAAAATTAAATGTACACGGTGTAGTGTAGACTGTCAGAGTGCATAACATGAAATAATGTTCTGGTAACTATTTGGTGCTACATGTATATACAAATCGATGTAATATTTTAATCCTGGCCTTCACGAAAGAGTTCCTCAATGTTAAACACACGATTTTGGTGACTTTATTGTTGTGTATGACGAGTCGGAGTCATATTTTAGTCCCGAAATAACTTCTGCTAAAGAGTTCGTGAATTTCATACACATTAGTCTGGTAACTATACTGTTGTATATTCGAATCAGTGTTACATTTGTTTTCATCCAAAAGAGTTCCTGACTTTCATAAACGGTATTCTGTTGACTATATAGTTGTATAATCGTGTTGGTGCCATATTCTTCATTCAACAGAATAACTCCCTGTGAAAGTGGTCGTGGATCTTTAATATATTATTCGGTTAACTATATTGTTTTATAAATGAGTCGGTGTCATATATTACTTAATAACCCCTACGAAACAGCTCATGAATTATACACACCATTCTGTGTACTTAATTATTGCATAGATAAGTAGGTGTCCTACTTTTCATCAAAAAGTATAACCCAATACGAGAGAGTTCATGACATTTATTTACACTATCCAGTGTACACAGCACGTAATTGTGTTATAGACTTTGACAGTTGACATTAATATATCACGGATAAAAGGGAAAAATCGATCGAAGTAAATTGTTTGGAAAATTTTACCCCCTAGGGTACGGGATAACAACCTCGTCCTTAATATGAACTTGTTATAGATGTGCGTATAAGATATGACCTGAAATATATCTCACGACGTGAAATTGCCGCGAGAAAATTGTAATTTTAAAGACATTCGCTTCTCTCAAGTGTTAGAGATCACAAGTCGGATCTTCTAATTCAATGCACTGATAGAACCTCCAATTTCTTTAGAAGATGTATACAATCAGATGACAAGTCGATAACGTCTTCAATGAGGAAATATATGCCTATTTAGGACACCTTTTTTAAGGTACTGAGCTACTGATAAATACAGGTAAATCCTGAACCATTATTTCTTTTATCTAACATTCTTAAGGTTGAACAAATATGAAGCTAGTTTACCTTGAAGTTACTTGTACATTCTACTAAAATGAGAAATCCCCCTGCAAGCCAATTTTAAAGAATTGTTAAGTTGTTTCCTTTAATGGTCAACATGGAGAACTTACCGGTGCATATTCTGTGTTGTTTTTTATGATTGGATAGAAAACATCACGTGATCCTCCTTGAAGACGCCATCTTGGATCATCGCCATTTGCTTGCCATAAGATATCATCCGACCCATCTGAAGTGAGAGAGAAAGCAAGAGAGAGAGAGAGAAGGAGAGAGAGAGAGAGAGAGAGAGGGGGAGATGGTGAGAGAAGAAAAAGAGAGAGAGAGATTTTTTAAAAACCAGAGAACGATAGAGAGTAAAATGAGAGAGAAAAATTAATACAACAAGAAAAAGCAAAGTTAGAAGTTGGTAAATATATCTAGACCAATAAATGTTCATCTTACGAGTAAAGTGGTTTTTGTCTCTTATATCTAACCGGTCGGAAGTAAATAATGTCACACAAGGGATATACCAATCGTTTACAAACCAATCAATATGTAAAACGCGAGGGTATATTTCGTGCAAGCGTAATGGATCTTCATTCATTCATAAGCATGATAAGTCTAAACGTCTTCGATATGATGATGATGTGTCACCTACTACATTTAGGGTCTTTAATAACCACGTATTTTAGAGATGTGTTATATTTCCTAGTTAATTATACCATCACATCTCAAATTAATGATACCCCTTGGCGTTCTTTCATCTCTTACAAACGACAGCTACCCCATTTATAGAATTATATACCACAATTACAATCAAATAATTATCTGGAGGTCAATGACTTTAATAGTGGGTAGTTGTCCGGAAGAGTAGGTGGTATGTCGCTATCTGGCCTAGGGTATTGTCCCAAGTGTAATTAACCAGGGGCAGTAGTCCTTGACTAATATGGACTTTTAGATTTGCACGTCGACATAATGGACTGCTACGTGTGACGTACTTTTAAGGCACTAGGACGTCACACGTAGTAATCCACTGTGTCGACGTGCACATATAAAAGTCCCTATTAATACACAGGGCAGTTGTCTCAGCGGTAGTTGTCCTACGGGTGGTAGTGCATAAGTTGTAGAGGTTTGTTGTCCAGTAGTAGTTGTCCCCAGGGTAGTTGTACAGGGACAGTTGTCCAGTTATAGTAATGTGGTTAGATGTTCAGGGGTAGTTTCAAAGCCTAAAATTCCATGGGAGGCAGTACAGGGAGTATCCATCCTAGGATATACAGTCCCAGGGTAGTTAGTATTCCAGGGGTAGTAGTTTCATGTAGGAATACAGGGCCGGGGTAGTTTCTAAGAGTGTTTCTGTCCCAGCTGTAGATGTGCTATGGATAATAGTACTAGGAAGAACTAAAGGGGTTGGTCGTCGAACTTGTCCTATGGACACTAGTCCATGTGGTGATTCAGAAGAAGTTGTTCAGAAGAAGTTGTTTAGGGATTAGTTGTGCAGGGGTAGTTTTCGGCAGGTTGTTGTACATGACGTAATTGTTTTTTTGAATACTTACGTAGGCGTGCATGTTTTCCTGCTCATTAGCCTTTGAGAAACTGACAGTAACACAGCGCTTTTCTCTTAACTACAAAATATGAATTTCGACTGATAAATAATCTGCGATCAATTCTCGAACTTCAATAGCCATCTTTGGACCTTGTCTTCGTGATTCATCGGGGGTATTATTCAACGCCAACGCACACGTTTTCTTTCAGGTTTAGGTGTTCATTCAAATATTGCCATTCAACAAATTCCTCACAAATCGACAAAGAATGTCCGCCATTGACTCGCTCAACCATACAAAGCCAGCCTTACAAGCCACATCATAGAATGAATTATGGAATTCATGTTTTCAAGCATGCATACCGTCTGTAAAACCAACATAGATTTACAATGATGAGTGTAAAGACCAGTGGGTTAAATAATGATGTAACAGTGTTCTTGTGGGAAGCTTGTTACAGGGTCATTTTTACCACTTATAATTTTGCTGTACGCCCAAACCTTTAGAACGACAGAACGCTTTATATATTTATTTTTTCAATGAAGAAGAAACATTTGTACAGTCACTTACTTTACACTTTAAAAAACTGTGTACACTTTAAATATACATTGCACTTGCCTCTTGTCAGTTATTCGAGACACTATTAAACCTATTACGCCTAATCTAACACCCAATCGCAAACCCAACACTAACCATATATCTTTGAAGAAACCTAACCCGCAGCAAATGTCGGCCAACAAATTAGCATTGCACAATAGAACTATCGGGGGCATGTCTATGATCACTAATCACCTAATATGGCTCATCTACCCAGTGACCTAATTCAACTAAGGTAATATTTATTTCATTGTAAGGTTCCTATAATAGGAAAAGGTCACTCACTCGGTGGGTCTATTCTGCTACAAAATATTATGACCACTTCCTTTTTTCAATTCTTTTTATCTGTTATTTTCTGGTAATTGCACGTGGGTCAGGGTTGGCTCTTTCAAAAAAAAACTTACATTTATATAAGCAGAAGATATTAGAACTTCATGAGATTTTACTCGTTATATAATTTGGAAACTTCTAGGAGAGTAAATGAATTCGAAATCACTGCCACTGTTTGATTAGAATCATGTAGGGCTTACATTTTTTTCAGAATTTGTATTAATATTACATCCCGGGTTTAATACCTAAATTGCATTTTGCATTATAAAACACTTTCCCACAGAGAAGAGTGACTTTACAACAAGGCTTGCGGGTGCACCATGTGTGAGAGAGAGGGAGGATTGAGGAGTCTTGAAAAGGATTCTCGGTAATCTTTCTTGAGGTTGTGTAGTCTTGAAAAGGACTGTTGGTTATCTTTCTTAGCTTATAGTTCTAAGGAGAAACTATAGCGCATGGTGCATCCGCAAGCCTACTGTTTATCTACATCACCATGCAAGCCGATACTCTTACAAGCAGCATCTACAAAGACTTTACTATTATTTTTTGTGTTACTTCCCACCCACTTCCCCCTTCATTTCTTTATCTCTCTCTTTCCCTCTACCTCTCTACCTCCTTCTGTCCTTCCCACTCTCTCCCTCCCTCCTCCCCTCCCTTGTTTTCTCTCTTTTATGTTGACTTATCCATGGTTGCAAAGCAGCTAGGAACTGTTAGTTTCAAGATGGAAACACAACTAGGTAAAGCGTATCGTTCGATTAGTATTTCAGTGAAGTGAAACTAAGTCACATAATTAAGTTGTCTCAGGAAAAAGAAAATGGGAGTGGTGAAAAGCTATAGTTTCAGCTATTTGTTTCATTCAAGCAACTGCCATGCTAAATAAACATACATAAATAGTGCAAAAAGTGAGAATAACATGATCAAAGTATGAGAACTGCACAAGTGACAGAAAATGGACATCAACAATAATAACTAGCCGATTCCGGATGTAATCTAGCTTAGTACATAGTTATGAATATTATTACTGGAAATTGCGACCTCACCCTTCCCAATATGTGTAAGAATTCGAGATCAGCCACCGTAGTTCCTTAGTGATTAATAATGTTTCACGCCCAGATAGTATGAGATGTTATATATTTCTATTCTTTGCTCTACTATTCTTTACACAGCTTCTGTCCGCCTCTCTGTTGCGGTCATCGTAATGGAATGTGCGTATCAATAAATGCCCATGAATCAAAAGTTCACCCTTCCGTCTGCAGTTTATTTTCAGAAGCTGGCAAAAGGTGACATAAAAGAAGCGAAGATGAAATGTAATGAAAAAGTTAGCTCTTTACAGATACCTGATACATTTGATACGTAATGAAATTTAAAGTTAGCGCATCTTTTAAACATGGCACGGTTTGACATTGCGCATTTTGGAGTATTCGCCTTAAAACTGATGGAATTGCTTCAGGAAGAGCTTTTCTTTCCTATTTTGGAAAGAATACTTCCACATAATTATGCATCATGCAATTCACTGTTGGTAGATTAATGAATAATGACTACAAACGTCATGATAATGTGTCCAATATTTTATCTAGGAGGATTAAACAATTTTGTTCCAAAGATCTTGTATCTATGAACTGGCTTACTACTATTTCTTGTTTTTCTTCAGGAAGTACAGAGCTATTACATCAAAGGCTCTTAATTGAGCAATCGAACTGTGTTTTTACAGATTATGTACATTTTGTTCATTTTTATATACATGTACATATTGATCTAATACGGAACATAAAACCAACCAACCAACCAATGACCCGACCTATCTACTTTTGTAGACGAACTGCACAGTATGCGCCATTGGCGTTGTACGCGAGAACTGGTGGGCGTGGCTGCAGAACTATACACACAAATTATTTAGCGGGTGTATCATTAATGTGGCTACTATCCCATTCATACCACTAAACCAAATTCCAAACCTGCCGGCAATCGACAGCATCATGTCCATAATGTGTGTTTTTCGTTCGGAGTATTGACATAGTGATTCTTTCGTCAGTGGGACTACGGGATTACAACATAATTTGCAATCGAGGGCAGACATAAAGGAGACCACAAAACCTCAAATATGCCACACAGAGGGGCTGACTTTACTCCTGTTCTTTGTCCGGGCTTACATTGTTCAGAAAATATTACATGAATACCATGGTTCTACGACGCACGGCCAGCGCATTGGAAATCGGAAAAGGCCGTGTGCCTAACTTTTGTCATGATTTTGGAAAAGCTAGCGAGCTGACACAAAATGCACAGCGTGTAGCTAGCGCGCTGTGCGTATACAGGGCGTGTGCTCCGCGTATGTCTGGCGCTGGTCTAGCGCGCTCAACGCACGTCTGGCGTGCCTTTGGCGTGTACATTCATGCGTCGAGCTCAGCGCACACTTTTCAGCATGCTCAAAAAATCCCGACGCACACAGCGAATGACGACGAATGCATAGCGCTGGTCCAGCGTTGGTCCAGCGCGCTCGACGAACGAGTAACGAGTGATGACTCACGCCTAGCGAACGACAACGCACTGGCCACAATTGCAAATTTTCCATGCGCCGGCCGTGCGTTCCCCATGCGTCCCCTCTGTGTGACCGGGCCTTTAAGAGCTTAGACATAGGATCACATTTAATACCATCTAATGAGGAAAAGTGAAATGTCCCTGCTCGCACCAAGTTAGTAGAGAAAGGGGATTACTATTTCCCCAAAGGGGTAAGATGTAGAAGATCGAAACGTGATGTAAGAAGATTTGGATAAATAAGACCTCATGAAAAGGTGCGTAAGATTGAATCATCATTGCTATAAAGACAACAATCTAACGAGGGAAAGTGACATTTCTCTGCTCGCACCAAATTAGTAGAGACAGATAATTAATATATCCCAAAGGGGAAAGATGTAGAAGATCGAAACGTGATTTAGGAAGATTTTGATAAATAACAACTCATGAAGAAGTGCGTAAGATTGAATCATTACTGCTATAAATACAACATGAATAACGCACTCCCAATGTGAACTGTTTACAAGTCTTCATTATCAAATAAAAGTGTTTGAAGGAATGTGACAAACGATCTTGAGAACAATATGCATTATTCGAATTTGTAAGATATTTAAAAAATTCCGAAGCTCTTTGTTGGCTTGGTTTGCACGAAAGGCCACGACCACATTTGAACAAATAATATTGAATGGATTTGATTTCAAAACATGGAAAGCGTGAAATTTTGTCGACCGAGAGATAGAGTTTGCATACTTTTTGTAAGGTTAGTCATGTGTTCAGGCTTTGATCCCCGCTGTCATGTTTGGGGGAGCTTATAAATCAAATGATATTAAAATCAATTATTTTACATTTAAGGAGAGAAGAAAAAGAAGAGGAAAATAAATGTGTGTAAAGTAAATTTTACACAATAATTCATGAATATATTATAGTATATAACTATAAATCATCAAGAATATATTTCCCATGGCCTCATGTTCTTGTATTGGGACAAATTTGTTGCACGCATCACATGTGCTATTTCAGAAAGGTCCGATTTAATCGTTAACCTGACTTTGTTCAAATTTTTAATGTAAAGAGTTGCCTAGTCTAATGAAAGCATAATTCTTACATTGATTGGTTCATTCAATTTTTAAACTATTGATTTATTTAATGATAATAATAAATTGTTTCTTTTATACCGCTATATTATCCAATTGAGGACTGATCAAAGCGCTTTACAAAACATATAAATTAATGAATTAAAACTCAGCAAAAAAATATGATAGAAAATGTAATGCAGTTAAATACAATGTAAACAGATGTGTATTAAGATGCTTCTTAAGACATTATTCATGTAATATGCTTTTTATCTCTCACGAGGGTATGCGTATTTGTAAACAATTACATCGGCTTATTTTCATTTACATAGCGCACATGGGGTAAACTGAGTGTGGTGCCTTGGTGTGTGATTAACTTTAGCCTTAAGTAACTTTTTTTTAACGCAGGCTAATAATTAAAAAACAAAGAAACAAAACGGTACTCACATTTTAAGGTACCTTTTGTTTTGGGTCGCCTTTTTCAAAAGGGGGCGGGGACATAATGGAGAAAATTAGGGTGTAAGTTTTTGTGTATTTAAGGTATACCACGTGGGTTTCAATAGTGGGGATTGGACATCCATGGTTGGACACAAGCTGGTTGTACCCCGCGCCCCACACTTATGTCACTCTCTAATCGTACCAATTCCTGTGGTAAAATGAGCAGTGTGACAAATTTGAGGTGTGTCCATTTTGACCATAGGTAACTCAAGTAAACAAATGTCATCGGATGACAAAATGATGTTGTTTGTCAAGAGTGATTCAACAAACCCTAAAACGCCCATTATGACATGACTGTATTACTGTGTATCAAAAAGTGACTCTTCACATTCTCCCCTATTAAGTACGTAGTCGTGTCGAAAGAGTTATAGCGGCTTTTATTTAAGGGGGTTTACTATTTGTTGTAATATGTATCATTTTCGGTGATATCTAGAAACATTTAGCATGAGCAATGTGTTCATTTGACCAACATGCCCGTAATTAAGATGGGTGCCGGGAGTGCGTGAACCCTCTCTACCCTCCTCCCTCTAGAGGTACAACAACAAACATGCCCCCAAGGACCTCTCGCAAGGAAAAAAAAGGAAAATTCAATATTATTAAAATTGAATTACAACAATGTATAGTTAGCTTTCAAGAGCTTTAAAAGGTGCTTCTTACTTCTATAAAAATCTATCAAGGGGTCTTATGGTCCTTCTATCTAGGGGTGGTGCAATGTCGTTTCTGTCCCCTCAACTCTCTAATGGCCAAATCTCTTTATAGACTAAAGGGGTAATTCATATTTCCCGTCTCCCTTGCCGGACAAAAACTGGCGTCATTAATTTTACGGTACAACCATACAAAATACAAATTGCCAACACTTCAAAATATAAATCTATTCTCCCTCGGTCGCTACGCTCCCTCGCATATTCATAGATACACAATATCTTCCAGAAAAGCCAAAGCGAGTGGGCAGATTATTCTCTTTGTCGAGGGGGCGGCTAAATTGTTCTTTCCCCCTTTCAAAGCAAATTTCGAAGTATATCGATTAGATTTTCCTAGTTCTCCAAAGATGCGAAATTTCAACATGCAGTGATCCCACTCTGTCGCCAAACTCCTTCTCAATTCATTAGAATAGATACAATGTTTCTTGTCATTTATATGCCCTCGACTACATGAGTAGTACATGAGCTTAATCATTAATCAAGTACAACCCTGGAAAAGATGTCTGGTGTTTTAAAACACATAGTTCAAACGATACAACAACAAAAATGTTCTCATTTGGTCGCTTACATGCTACCTCGTATATCAACAAATCAAAAGCAGTGTTTCTTAAAACTGTCCTGTAGAAATGTTGAACGTCAAGGCCTTTGGTTACGTAAAGAGAGCCTTCCTCTATAAAAGGGGGTTTGAGGAGGCAACCCCGTTTAGCCCCCCGCACAGGTCCCAAGACAACAACATAGTTGTGTTTAAAAATTTTGAAGTATGGATTAGCATTAAAATGCTCTCAAATAAGTTTCAACTGTCCAAAAACGTTATTTTCCCCCACTCGATCGCTATGCTCCCTCGCATTTTAACAGATGAAATGTTTCTTCTATTTTATAAACCCTGCTTACCATATTTGGTGCAATAGTAGTAGTAGTAGTAGTAGTAGTAGTAGTAGTGGGCTTAGTAGTAGTAGTAGTAGTAGTAGTAGTAGTAGTAGTAGTAGTAGAAGTAGTAATAATAGTGGTAGTAGTAGAAATAGTAGTGATAGTAGTGCTAGTAGTAGTAACATTGGCGGTAGTAGTAGTAGATGAAATAAAATGATAACTTACATACTTCCCTTTGGATATTGAACAGAAATGCAGTTTTACATATATTTACACACAATAAGAAACATAGTATATTATGAACGTTAATGTCCAAAGCATAATGGGCGGGGCCTGATGATCGTGATGAAACACTGAATCAAATATCGTGTGCAGCACACTTACATATTCAACTTTTTGTGCAATTAGTAGAATGAACTCACCAATGACAGGTAAACCATGGGCAACAAAACTCGAGAAAATAAGTCCAAAGATGGCAATATGTGATAAACGATTGGTAATCCACGCCATAGCTGGCGTTCCAGGGGTACCTGCTGGTCCCCTCTACTTTCTAATCCTGGGTAATAAGCTCCTCACCGGTGAAAGTTTTCAAACTATCGGAAGCGGGATGTACCTGCGCCTATTCACACGAGCGGGACTGCGGCTAAGCTTTTGGGTCCAAGTCGCAGCTCTCTCGTTTGCAGAGTGATTATATGATTGCGTTATCTTTTTTCCTCAGCGGATTTCACGCTAAGTTTGACGTTTTGTCCCAAACCGCAAAATTCTTTTATCCATTCTGCATGACTGCCTCGCATACCCCTCTCATTCATATTCATAATGATCATTTCGCGATTATTCTCTCTCTCTCTCTCTCTCTTTTTCTTCTCTCTCTCTCTCTCTCTCTCTCTCTCTCTCTATTTCACTTCTCTCTCTCTCTCTCTATTTCACTTCTCTCTCTCTCTCTCTCTCTCTCTTTTCTCTTTTTCAGTCCCATAGTCATCATGTTGCACTTATGGTATGGTGATACTCTTATCGTTTTCGGTCCGGAATTTCGCAAAAGAATATAACAAGCCATGATATCAGCGGGTACAATAGCTTGTTTGCTGATTAATGCCTTTCAACTTTTCAACTTGTCAGGCCAACCTTGCCATACGTTGCCTTCATGGTTAGTTAGCTTGCCCAATAGTCTTTTTCAGAACTGTAAAAAAACGTTCCATCTTCGAAAAACAATAAATTGTTTCAAAGGAAATCAGATTTTTGAAAGCTTTGGTAAATAGGACTATAGGAATGTTGATAAATCGAGATTAAGTGAAGCAATGTTATGCTTATTTACAGGTAAATTGTTACTGTTGTCCTACACTATAGTGTCCTTATAAAAAACTATTTTTCCTGAGAAACTCTTGCCAATCAATTACTAAATGCCCATTTTCAATTCATTCCAAGCACTAATTCTCCCTAATTCTCCACTCTCTCTCTCTCTCTGTTTATACTGTACATAATCATTCCCACTTATCAATTGATTCATCATCCTGTCAGTATCATAAAGTTCAGTCACAACTCTAGTCACAACCATAACTTAATGAAAAGAAATCTAAAGAAATAATATATGCAGAGAAAAAATTGAACATTTTATTATCACGAATATAAATAAATAATTACAAATAATGAAATACATTATGATATTTCATTGCTCTTTCTTACTTACACCGTGACAGGGTTTATTCCCTGTCAAAAGCCCATTCAAAGTGAGCAACAAAAAGTGGTGTCACTGAATTGTATACACAATAAGATTTGCATAAGTTTGAGCCAAAGGAAAATCGTCGTTATGATTTCCTATTGCCCAATATAGTGGCCCGAATTCACAAAGGAGGTTTGTCGACAAACCTATATGTTTAAGTACGTCATATGACGCGTTTCGATGCGTGTCAGACCAAGGGTCAGACAAACCTAGGTCTGAAACGCGTAAAAACGCGTCACATGACGCACACAAACCTAGGTTTGTCGACAAACCCCCTATTTGAATTCGGGCCATTATGTCTACATGATTGTGTGGTTGAAAAACTGACTTTCCTTACACGTATCAGACAATTATTAACCAATCATTTCACTTATCATCCGATCAATTAACTAATCAGTCAGTTAATAAACGTATTAACCAATTAAACAATGAACAATAAACTGATTAAATTACTGATCAACAAGTCAAATAGCCAATCAATAGATCCACCAATCACTGCTAAAGCCAGGGTTATTATGCTGCATTATTGTAGAACGCTTATAGAGACTTCTGATAAAGTAAGTGTTAGGCGCTATATAAGCAAGGATAATTATTATTATTATTAAACATATTATATCAATGAATCGACTGATCAATTAATCAACCACCCTTTTAACTAACACACCGATGAACCACGTTATCAACCAATCGACTGATGAGATATTATAGCCAACCCCAGTTAACCAATAAGTCAATAATCCAATCAAATAATCACACAATAAACTAACTAATCAATCAATGAACTTATCGGAAAATTAACTAATCAAATTAACCTAAATATCAATCGACTGATCAGCCAACTTATAAATCAATTGAACGATAAACCAGATAACTGATTAACCAGAACAGAAGAGCAAACCAACAGAAATCAATAAAACAGTCAAGGAAATAATAAGCAACCAATCAGCAAGCTAAAACTGTCATAGTAGAATTAAAACAACCAAAGCTTCAAATCACAGTTCATCTAAAAGTTTCAAAAGCCATTTTCTTTTACTAGCTTCGTCAAACATTTTGCATAATTATTGTCTTTTTTATTCGGCTTTATTAGTGTTAATTAAAACAATTCATTCTTTCAAATCTGATATTACTTTAATACATCGTTCTATTTTTAAGGCTTATTACTTTTTGATATAACGTCTCTATTCGCTTCCAAATGACTATGGATATTATTATCCCGGGCTTAGCCCCGGAAACGTAGTGCTCAGTGGATAACTATTGCCAGGTACCCACCTTCTACACCTTGGTCGAGTGTGACAACTGTAGATTACTGTCTTGCCATAGAAGGTTAGTGCTGTGGCAGGGATACGAACCCCGAACCTTGTGGGTCACAGTCCGGATACTTATCCACTAGACCAACGAAGGTTATACATCAGTCAGAGCAATGACTGAGTATTGAATATCTATTTCATATGTGTAATTTGAATGAGATTATATGATGGAAAAATAGACATTTGCCTGTCAATAAGAGAATTGCACTCGCCAGCTCGTTTTTTATTCATTCTCCTGAAATTAAAAAATAATCCCTCAAAAATAATCATAGCTTTGGTCCCATTAGTGTCAGAAAAGATTCACTCAAGCTCTTCAGGTTTGTGTAAATAGTGCCGAATTCCTGTCCTGAAAATCCCATTCTGATTTGGTGACTGATCTATAGACTTTGTCAGGTCGATTGTTGCTCTGAATAGAGAATTCCACTGGTCCGTGAAAATCAGGAGCAAAGAAATTTTGAACGGCGTCCTCAAATATAATTCCTACATTGAACAATAAGGGGCAGTGTCTAACCCGGGGAGAAACACCATACAATATATTTATACATTATTTTTCACTTAGGGATGTAAACCCAAGCAACCCCCTCCTCCCACACACACACACACACACACACAATTTCCAGGGTAGATACGCTTTGGTGTACATCAGGGATTAAGATAATACAGTACATAATTATATCATGGCACTTTTCAAAATGTAGGTCAATGTTTAAAGGGCACAGTCTTCTTCAGTTTCCTACTAATAATTTATATATTTTTACTTCTAAATTTCTCTCTCACTCTTTCTTTCTCTCTCTCTCTCTCTCTCTCTCTCGCTTGCTCTCTCTCCCCTGCCCCCTCCCCCTCTCTCTCTCTCTCTCTCTGTATGTCTCCCTGAATTTTTCTCTCTTTTACTCTCGTTCACCCGTCTTATTTTCTCCTTCTTTTTTTTCACTCTATTCACCTTTAGCCCCCCCCCTTTCCGTCTCTCTCTCTCTCTCTCTCTCTCTCTCTCTATTTCTCCCTCTTCCTATCTCTCTCTCTCTCTATTTCTCCCTCTCCCTATCTTTCTCTCTCTCTCTCTCTCTCTCTATTTCTCCCTCTCCCTATCTCTCTCTATTTCTCCCTCTCCCTATCTCTCTCCCCTCTCTCTCTCTCTCTCTCTCTCTCTCTCTCTCAAACTCGTGCTTCCTTAATTTTCTCTTACCCTTTACCTCTCAACATCGTTTTGTCTTACTGCTTCGCCTGACATACAATACCGATCACGTGGTTTGTCTACCTTTTTGATGATCTTTGATTATGGTCATGAAATATTTATTTATTCAATATCCTCCATGATAATTTACATGTATTTCATACGAATTTCCTCTAACACGATCGCAACTTCTTCGAAAAATTAAGCAATCTCAGTAGCCTTGTGCGTCACCTATTGAAATGTGCGAACATGCCAATGACATAATAATAATAATAATAATAATAACAACATTTATAATGCGCACATATCCACCTCAAGAGATGCTCAAGGCGCCTAACAAGGTAAATACATTAAACTTAAGAAAGTACATGAGAAGTTACAGAGAACGAAAATAATTTAACATGATTAAATATAATTAAACAACGTTAATTACATCAGATTGTGAAAAACACTACGTCTTAACTAACACATTGCGTAAATCGAACGCGATTTCTAAAGGATATACAATAGAGTATTGGAATTGCCCTTTAGTTGATCTCCGAAAATAGTTGCGATCATGTTCATTTTAGTACTTCCATACTCGATTGATACGCAATATTACAACTTACCTACTTGAATACAATTATTGTAATTATAATCTACTAAAAGCATTAAGATTGTATTGACAGAAACAAATATAAGGCATTCATGAATCGCGATGTCTTCTCGCCAAATGGCAATTGCCTTCCAGGATACTTTCTCTCCCCTTATCTTTCGGAATGGGCTCCTCTACTACGATGTTGAGCATACAAATTTCCAAAAATCATGATTTCCCTACATGAGGGCAACTTTGTTTAATATTTCTGCAATCCTGCTTTATTTTTAAGATCTGGTATCTTCCTTTAATGTTTCTATTCTTTGGTACCAACTATGTAACTGTACTGTTGTCAAATGCATATTCTTCTTGGGAATAACATAGGTAATGTCCCGTGAGACCGACGGCACATGACACCGGCCCGCGCCCCACCCCCTTTGCCATTTTCAAATTAAAGTGGCATACACAAGTCAAAGAATGTGTCCCCTCCAAAAAAAAATGAAAAAATGGAGAAAAAAAATGATAATAATAATGATAATAATAATCATCATTATGGGGGGTGATAATCTTTCATGATTTTGCTTGATGCCCCTCTTTTGTTTCTGCTTGTCAGCAAATTTCATGAATATTTTGCCCCTCCTTTATAAAATAATATTATTGAATCCGTGCATCTTGAGACATGCATGTCAGTCTCGTCGGCAAGTTCTTCTCAATTATGAACATTATTCTGAGGGTTTAAAGACCGAATATGGCACTCGGCCGTTCTGTTTTCTTTTTCTTGAAAAAAGCACACATGTAAGAAATTATCATAAACTTTAAGGGATAAATGTAAGGTATAAGCTCACCCTCATATTGGCTATACTGTCTCTTCTCCACCCCTCTCCCCACCCATTCCCTTGAAAGTGTACGTAGAAGTATTTATTTTCTAATTGATTAAAACAAAAGGCATACAATACAAGTATATACATTAGTATGAATGAAATGGCTGGATAACCCATATTCAGCTGTGCCAGTCATGACACTATTGGTCTTCCATGGGGTCACGAAAGCATATACATAAATATCAAACATGACTTATAATTAGTTACTAAATTAAAGGATATAAAGAAGGTACAGCACACAGTCATGAATGCTTAAACCCTACAAAATGGTAGTTGTGTGAAAGGACTGCGAAAGTCCCCCCCCCCCCCCCCCCCCTTTATACAGAGCATTCAAGTCCCGAGTCTGGAATAGGTAAAATTATCAAGGTCTGGGTGATTGAGCATGTGAGTGGAACAACGTTAATTCACGCTTAAAGTGGATTACAACTGTACCGAGACTAACTAGTGTATTACTAATCAGCAGAGGGCGTTCTTCCATTCCACGTTCTTCATTCAATAAGGTCACATACAGTAATCAAAGGAAAATGTGTAAATCGAATTGGAAGCTGGTTAAAAAAAGAACCACCCCCCCCCCCCCCCACCCTTATTTGCTTATGACATTACTTTCGAAGAAAATCTCTGCAGAAGTTTGGAACTTTCTCTTCGCTATAATCAACAGAATTAGCTTAAAATGTCAGTCATTCTAAAGAAAATACTTGACATTTTCAAAAAAACAAGTTAAAACCTAGAAAAATCAGTGCTAAGAATATCATGGTTTTACCAAATTTAACTCTGAAAAGAAGTTAGAATTTAGTTAATGAAGGATATTGATCAATCTGCAAACACAGACCTTTCTTTTACACTTAAACACAATTTAATAAAGCCTTGAGCCTTTCCTATCCTTTTCGCTCTCCGGCTATATCTAATATAATAGTTCATAATCTATGCAGAACAGTAGATTGTGCAGTCTACATGGCCTTGCAGTTCAGAGACTCTGTTTTGCCTGCCAACGAAATGGTGATCGCAAACTCAGAACTGAAAATGTATTTTCGTGTTTTAATTTCCGTGATTGCGAACCATGCGCAGTACAACCGTGAAAGTATTATGGGATACAGTGCGAGTAAAACATCCAATCAGCGTCGGAGCCGTAGCCAGAGAACACGCCCAAATGAGTGACGTCAAAAGGGTTCGGATCCTGCCACTGGATAAACGGTTCGGTTTGGTCTGCTAACCCCACTTGGTAGAGTCCGTCGGCAAAGGTTATCCACAAATCCGTGAAGGCATCGGTTTGGCAGAGAGTACCCGGTACTTTGATGACTGGTAAACAATCGACGCAGTCTCGCTTAATTCCAGCAGCAGAGTTGTCCCATCCACAAAATGCTGAATAATTCGGAGAAATAGTGGGTTAGGGAAATTGTGTGTGTGTGTGTGTGTGTGTTTGTGTGTGATTGTGTGAGGAAAGAAGAGAGATAAGGGGTGAAAGGGAAAGGGAAAAGAGAATTGGAAAAGGGACAAACCGATGGAGGAGAGTACGGATTTGGGAAACGTTAACGGAAAGTGAGAAATAGAAAGAGAGTGAGAAACGAAATGGAATGAAATAAAGATGACGAAGAAGTACAAGAACAAGAACGAGAACAAGAAGCACAAGATCAAGAAGGGAATAACAAGAACAAACAAATGAAAAAGAAGAAGAAGAAGAGGAACAAGAAGAAACATCAAATGAAAAAGTTAAACATTCAATCGTTCCTTATACGGTATTCTAATTCATTCACTGTAAATTCAAATTCAAATACATATTTTAGTTTATTGAAATAAAGTCCCAGGATGACATAGTGAAACCTCTAATACCCCCACCACATTGCTCCTGCTCACCCTCCCCCTCCCCAACCGTCCCACCCGATCTAGATCCAATTAAGCTACATCTATGGTCTAGCTTTGGTGCGGCTCCGATGTAGGGTAAGGCCTAGTCTAGTTCTGGACCCTTTTAATGATTTTTTTATTCGCCGACTATAACCGATTCGCGGCTCTCGGGATCGCGCCGTCACTAAGGATCGCGCCATCATTCGGCTCAACGCTTATAGACGGCGAATAAAAAAAAAATCATTAAAAGGATCCAGAACTAGACATTGGTTGCGTTTATTGACCAAATTTTTGGCTAGAATCAGGTTTCTCAAACGCCTTTCAGGCAAATTTAGAAGGTGATAAACGCAAAAGCCTTTTTTAAAGGTCTTTACATATGGGCATATCTAAAGACGCAAAAAGGTGTGTTTTGAATGTGACATACAGTTTTGAACCCCACATACAAATCGGACCACCCAGGTTAAGGGTTCGGAGGCTAGCGCGCGCCATGTGTTGTGTACAAGCATGTGTGTGTAGTTGACCTCCGAGAAACTGTCTGCTTCCCGGGTCAAAACAGCTGCGCAGACACAAGGCCTTTATTTTTAATCGTGAAGAGACGATAAACGCGACATCCCACAAATCACTTTCGTATAGTGGGGTTTGATAGTGGGGTATGATAGTGGGGTACGATATGTACATATCTAGTGGCAAGACCCAATAAACGCGCCCTAGGTTAGGCCAAGGTTTGGTGCCAGGGTTATGATTAGGTTTAGTGTTGGGTCCGGAATTCGGTTTTCGGTTACTGTAAGAAACTGGCCCCGGAGCAATTGCAATCGGAGCATTTGTCACATAACCCAAACTAAAGAATAGTTTGTTTTAATAATTATTATCCATTCTTTTTTTGTTTGTTTGTTTTCTCACCGAATTCGACATACTCCCCATATAGGGATGCTCGGTTAGCCAGTCCAACATGCACGTCGTTATCCGCTCTCACAAGAAACTTGAACTCTCCGTTTTGGATCCGACTAACCGGGAACAGCCAGTGATAATTATGGTTGGTGCCACTGTCATTAGTGTGAAAGCCACACACTGCAAGGAAGATAAAATATTACAATAATAAGACCAAGCAACAAAAATTACTTATTTCTGATATATTTTTTTCTGACTTGACAAACTGACGACAAACTTATGTGATAAAATATTATCCACTTTACATAGATACATTATATGATAACAAGGTTTTGTCTCAGCAGCCATTTTATAAATGGCGGCCTTCTTGAAAGAAATAACAACATATACAAAATAAAAAATAGTAACGGCCTCTCTCATTGATTTTTAAACAAGTCCGGACGAGAAACACGTTTAATTTTTTTTACTTGGCCTAATAATAATAGATATAGAGATAATGATATTAATATCATCAATGAAAATAACAAGAATCATCATCACCAAGATAATAATAACATTGATTATAATAATAATAATGATAGTGATAATAATAATAATAATAATGATAATATTAATAATAAAAATGATAATTACACCAATAGTTTCTTACATTCATATAGCGCTTTAGTACAGACATAACAATATTACTTGCCAATGGCGTAGTTAAGATTTTTAAAAGTCCGAATATGTAGTACGGAAAGCATTGCACAGATTCGCTCTTGGAAGGTTAGTGATGTGTTAGTGATGTAGAAAGCAATCAATCAGTCTAATTATTAGATTAATTAGATCAAATAAATACCCCCGATGGATGGTAGTGCTGTCGCCATGGCGGCTATTTTGTTGATGACTACGATATAATTTTGTCTCGATTGGGATGGGTGGGGTCTTCTTGGAAAATGTAAGGATTCAATTTATATATTAGTGTTGAACTCGGCCTTGTGCATCACATCTCCTTTCAGCATCAACGATATTGTATAGATTTTATTAAAAAATTACTTTACAATATTCATTTTCATCTGCTATGGGTGATCGAATAATTGGAATGCTTGATTTCTAGATCACTAAAACAGTTGATGGAATTGGATAGGACTATCTCTCTAAAGCAAGGCTCCCACTTAGCCGAGTTGGAACCTCTAGTTGTGGCGAGCTGGCGCGATCTTATGGCAAGCCGTTTTATTATTAATTGATATCAATAAATCAATTCTTGTTATCAAGAAATAATTTTATGTAGTAAAGCAATGGTAATTCTTGATATCAAGAATTCGATTTGGTGATACCAGGAATTCGATTTCGTGATATCAAGAATTGAATTCTTGATATCAAGAAATATGTTTTAATGATAAAACTGCTTGCCATAACATCGCGCCAGCTCGCCACAACTCGATGCTCCAACTCGGCTAAGTGGGAGCCCTGCTTAAGAGCGATTCCGTGCAACGTGTTTCCCTACGACGTTCATCCACTTATTTCATCCAGTAAACGGAAATCCCTCAATATAACCATTAGCTGATGGTACTTTCTCGTATCAAGAACATTTTGAATGGATATAAAGAGGGACATTTTTCATTTTTCATAAAAGAGATAGAAAAGACATTATTTCGTATGGGACGCGATGCATGAAATTGCCCTCTATCATTATTTTGTCATCCGTGCCTTACAATGAATGATCTTTTTTTTTAAAGGAGCACATTATTTTACATTTATTTTGTAGCACATCATCAGTGCGCTTTTCAGTGTTATAATGTTTATCAACGTGTTTATTGTAATGCCCGGTGCAAACGAAGCGTCATTTATATTGCGTTATTTCCTGCGCTAATCATTCATGTGGGTGTATTTAACAACGGCATCACTAATAATTGCACAATGAAAATGAAGTCAACTGTTCATTATGCAGTTACTTTTTATAAGATGTCGCCCTTTCAAAGATCACACAATTTATAGACGCAGTCCAACGTCATGGAAATAACGTATGCAACTGTGCATGTGCTGATTTACGCGCACTTACAATTTAATAGTTAGTGTACCGAAATAAAATTACAGGGAAGGTTGAGTCCATGCAGAAGTGAAAAGGATTTGTGAACTTGTCCATTATTTCAATGTTTACTTAGTGTGGAAGAATATCCTGGATTTTGTTTTCGAAATATGAAATTTAATTGAATTTATTTCCACATCTCCTTTACAAAGAAAACACTTTCTCTAAAGACGGCAAGGAATAGCTGACTTGTTCGACCAAACTTTCATTCCACATGTGTGTATAGTGCATGTGGTTTTCAGCAGGACCGGATCCAATCTACAATGTATTATCATTCTGGAGATTCCTAAACCATAGAGTGTACCCCAATACAATCGTGAAACATAGTTAACCTTTTTGCCTGGCCCCCACTCCGGGAAAGGGTACTTTCCACGCGACAAAGTCCGGCTCGTAATACACACAAAAATCAGCCCGTATTTACTTTACACACCTGACTTAGGGGGATTTTTTCAAAGGGAGGGAACATGCATACGCGTACCCTAAATAACACTGAGTGGGGGGGGGAGACTTTTTGCAATCGCATAATCAGAACTTCGTCTTATATTGAACTCACACCAAAATGTTACACTTACAGCACTGATGTTTAATGGTGAGGTACTTCGGTATAGAGAAGCAAGGGTCTCCAAACGTTGCCGTGTTGACGGTCATGGTACAACTAGATACCCCTTCGCATGACGTTCTCACTGCCAATAATGAGTCTGCGAAACAATCCACAGTCAGTGTCCTATTGGTGGAACAAATTTGTGCGCCAGAAATCCTACCGAAGTTTGCATCTACGATATGAATGCAGTTGTCCTGTCCACAATCTAGGGTTATGATGTCGTCTTCGCATGTAGTAGACTTGTACATTTCTGTTTTCAAAAACATCGAAGATTGATAGAGAAGAAATAAATGAAAATGTTAATCAGGAGCGGATCTACGGGGGGGGGGTAGGGGGTTTAACCCCCCCCCCACCCCCTTGGGCTGCCAAGTGAAAATGTGATGTGCATAGAAAAACGCCATCATGTGTCCGGACCCACACATTATTAGTAGATGTTAGTAGATGCAAGGAAAAGATCAATTTAATAATTATAATTCCTGTTAATTTCACCTGAAGGGTCTCATTCGTCCACCCCACGTCAGGCCATTTCTTATCAAACGTCTTTTGAATTAGTAACGGTCTGTCAGCCTACCGTGCCGTTCCTTGTATGACCATTCCACTATACCATTCCACTACAGTACCGCAAAACATGCTTGGATGGGAATTGTTTTATTTTACTGCCTATTGAATAAACCTAAACATTACAATCTGCTCTGACTTGAAAATGTGTCGTTTTAAAATTCGAGTCTAATGGTATTAAAGAAAACAAACTCACTCAAAGAATAATTGTAGGCATTGTGAAAAATGAGATGAATTCATGCCCTTTGATGTACAATATTCCTTACGAATTCAAAGTGTATAAGAGATGAAGCGATTATTGGCATGATGTAATGGAAATTAAAAGAAAGTAGTCATCCTCTTATGTATGCATGATTTTCTTTAGGCAAATCCTTTAAAAAATTAATTTACTTAGTACTTTAACATTAGTTATAATAATAAATATAAAATGTTCACATCATTTCAAAGGCTTTATGACAGCTACCGTGATAAGAATTTCTTCCATTTGTTGATGTCTTGAAAGTCATTTTTTCTTTTTCATTTCATTTATTTTCACTGCAATCGTGTTTTTATTCATAACTTATTTCAATATATCCCAATTTGGCCACCCAATATTCAAATGTGCATCTTCTTTGTTTTATCTTTATATATCAAACTGAAATCCAAATACTACAAATCTTGATTTACACCCCCTTATTTCTTTTTTTTTCTCTCTCTCTCTCTCTCTCTCTTTTCCCCTTTTACCAATATGTTTTCCTCCATATTTGTATTTATTATGTATCAATTGAGGGTGGTCATGCTATCAAGCTTTGCTTACTTTGTCAACCCTCCGGTTTGATGTTTTCGATTAGTAACAGCCAGTCTTACTTTATTCTACATATATTCTTTTGTCATGATTGTGTAAAATTTGCAATGTTTTGTTTGTTATATATTTGTAAAAGTGCAAAAGAAAAAGAAAATCAAGCAGAAATAAATGAATGAAATAAATAAATAAAATAAAATCAGATATTCACAATCTCAGATGGAGAGAAACTTACTTCTCGTTTGGCATTGGCCACTATCAAAACCTTTGTGGCAAGAGCAGGAATAACGGTTTAGTTTATCCACGCATGTTCCTCCATTCTGACAGGGGTTACTGGCACATTCGTTGATATCTAAGAGGATAAATGAGAGAGCAGGATGACCAAAATAGAGGAAGAAGGAGAGAGATGATGAGAGAGGATGAGGGTGAGAGAGAGTGTGTGGGGATGAGGAAGAGAGGTATTGGATAAATGAGTCGGTGAGAAATGTAGAGAGTCGGAGGAAGAGGAGGAGAGATACGGGTGGAGGGAGATATTGGGAACAGGGAGTCAGTAGAAGAGAGGGATATTAAGAGACAGACGAAGAGGAGAGAGGGTGTTGGAAATGACAGATTTGGGATAGACAACCAGAGAGAGGGGTGGGGTGAGGAAGAGAGAGATTGGGAAAGAAATAAGTGAGAGAAAGAGAGGAATGAGTGTGAAAGAGAGAGGAGAGATAGTCAGTGAATATAACATAATAATTTAAAAGGGTACTTATGTTAAGGAAAGATCTTAATTCTTCCATTTTTTTAAATATAATTCATATATTTTCCATCAAGATTTGCTTTCATAATAGTGAAGATATATTTACCATTGAGGAAATCTACAATATAAGCCCGGCATCTTACTTAAGTCCTGTGATATTTCTATCACCTTTTCAACATAACGCGATCGCAAGTACACACATGTTATTTCGTAAAATGAACCTAAGACCATTTTAGAAGCCTTGTGCGTCACCTATTGAAATGTTCAAACGTGACAATTACGTATTACGTAATCTGAACATGATTTCTAAGGGATATGAAATAGAGTATTGGGATTGCCATCGAGCTGATATTTCGAAATAAGGGAGTTTACAGATAGCACAGGGAGCACATGGTACAAATTACCCCAAATATCCACAGATCTTTTACACATGGAGAAGTTCCACTTTGAGCAGATTAGAATAATAACTGCCAAAGTCCTAGATGTGCTTCATGAATACCTTTTGTTTGCCCTCTTGAAAAGAATACTTCCACCTGCGGATCATAGAATGTACCGTTGGTGCATAAATGAATAATGTTACATAACTTTCATGAGCGCACATCCAGTATTCATCTCCGTGGGTTTTACCTTTTTGGTACAAATGATCTTTTTCTGCCCATGCGCAGATTGTATCTGTAAACTCCCTTATTGGTTGCGATCGTGTTACAAGTACAGTCAAACCTGTCTACAACGACCGCCCAAGGGAAACACAAAAGTGGTCTTTGTAGACAGGTTCCTTTAGTACATATTTCAATGAGAAACAATTTTCAAGGGAGACAAAATTTGCTTGTTGTAGACAGGTGGTCACTAAAGCAGGTTTTACTGTATTTTTTAAAAAGGTTGAAAACTACTTTTAAATGAAATGATAATTACCAACTTCGCAGTTCGGCCCAGCATAACCGGCTATACACTCGCATTTGTAAGACCTTTCTCCATCTATACAACGGTGTCGACTGCTACAAGGGGAACTTGCACAGTCATCAATATCTGTTGTAGCAAATAATTTAGAAAAGAGAATTGGTACAGCTTGATAGTGGCGTAGCTAGGGTTGGGCACTTACGCTCCTCCCCCTTCCACATTGAACGGCGAAAAAGGGGGAAAGATAAAGAAAGGGAATAGAAAGAGAGATAAAGACAGTATAGATGAGGCGCTGTAAGGCAGAATACCG